CTCCTCTCACGGGCGGAGCAGGGTCACCCCCGTGTTCTCTCTCCCGCAGCCCCGAAGGCCCCCAGCCTTCCACACTCGAGGAGCAGGGCCAGCAGCACCTCTGGGATTGTCGCTTTCAGGGTCACTCTCAAGATAGGGACAGTCCCCCTTGGGACTTTGGGGTGGGAAGGGGCATAGAATCAAACACACAGACCAGTTCCATTCAGCACAGCCACACACACACACACACACACACACACACACGTGCGCGCGCGCACACACAATTCTGGGAGTGCTTGTATCTGCACACCTGCAAGCTCCTACAAACACCCCCCATATCCACACCCATGCATAGCCATCGTACATCCAGGTGAGCCTCTGCTCCCAGCAGACAGAGGCCCCGGAGGCAGCCAAGTTGGCAGGTGGGAGGGTGTGGCAAGCGGCAGGTTGGGCCCTGGAGGGTACTGGCCTGGGCACAGGGCTGGGGGAGGGGCCCCTCCCCCAACACTTTCTGTCGCGGCTCCCTGAGCACCTCAGTGCACCTTGCTACAGATACACTCATTAGCTGCTGTTTACAGCGGGCATGGCGCTCAGACAAGCGCAGCTCCCCGGGCTGGACAGCTGCCGCCCGCACACGCACGTAGGTACACACACACACAGCGCCGCTCCCCGGCAGTCCCGCCCTCCCTCCCACTCACGCCGCAGCCCCACGCGCTCGTCACATGGACGTATCAATTCCCCAAACGTCCCAGCTCATGGTAGAAGTCAGCTCCCAGCCCAGCCCCACTGACAACACACCTTTTGCAAGATGCCTTCCCACGTGGGAGGTTAGACTCACCTAGAACAGGCCAGGTATGCCAGCTCCCTTCCCCCACTTCCCACCAACTGGATCCAGAATTCCAGGCACAGTCACCCTGTGGATCCAGCCCCTCCTTTCCATATATCCCAGGCAGACTCTGCTCCAACCTCGAGTGAATTCTGCTGTGCAACACCAAAGCTGTGCCCTCCTGCCACAAGCTGGACAGGGCCCAGCAGGGCTGCCACTGCCACCTGCAAGGTCAGGGACCTCCATGCCCATGCAACTGGCACAATTCACTTGATACTACTGGCTGGGGTTCCCTGGCAAGGCAGGAGGGCACCCAGGCACAGGCTGGCTGCGGCACCTGGCCAGACCAATGACCTCTCTGACACAGAAAGCTGACCTCACTGGTCATATGTGCCACCTGCCGGGCACTGCCCATGGAGCAGGGGCCTAGCTCCATGAAGGGCTGCCCATGCCCACCTTGAATGCCCCGGTGACCTGGAGGAGGCCATGAAACTAAATATTCCTGCCGAGAGTCTTTTGCCCAGGGCACTGCCTCTTGCCCCCTGCAGCCCCCTTCGCCAGCTCCTCTCCCTGCTCTTCTCAGCATCGCTCCCCTGGGGGAAAACAGTTATTGAAAAACGCTCCGTCAGATTCAATAAGGATTCGAAGTCCCTGAGAGGATAGGGGGTGGCAGGAGGGAGCCAGGGGAGGAGGAGGTGTGGGGAAGAGGCGGTCTCACACACGCACACATGCTGCAACAGCAGGGCTGGGGGTGGGGTGGGGTGAGGAGGGGACAGTCCCCGCTGACAGGCGACAGGGCCCTCCGTGTCCCTGAGGCCTAAGCTTCAGGTCAGCCAGGAGCAGGACCCAGCTGCCCAAGGCCAGAGTTGGTTCTCTGGACACCCACCTGTTCCCCTACCTTCCAGCTGTCCTCACCTGCCACATGAGGAGGGTCTAGGGCCTGACTTCCCCTCTACCCTCCCCTAGTCCTTGAGCACCCGGACAGTTGCTGAAGCCACCCTGGCAAACTGCGGCTGCAGCTTGGGGGCCTGACCTGAGCCCCTCTCCTGCCCTGGACTGTACCTCTGCTCAACTCCTCCCTGCCATGCCTGTCGGGAGACCGTCTGACCTTCATGCTCAGGCTCTGATCCCAGCCCAGGACACTGGCCAGGGAGGCTGGGCCTGTACAGATGGGACAGACCTGAGAAACGGTCAGACAGAAGCAGGCCGTCTGGTGCCCCAGCTCCACTTCCTGGCACCCCCTAATCCCACCTCTGAGTCTACCTGGAACTCATGTCTCATATACCAGCCACTGGGCTCTGTCCCTAACTTGTGTCCAGTGAGTCAAGGGCTGGCTGGACAATGTCCTGGACTCCTCTGCCTGGAGGGAGGACAGGCAGCATGTCAAGGCTCCCTGACCCACAGAGTATGTTCTAGTCAGCCCCCACTGACCTCAGGGACCACCTGTGTGGCACTGTCTGCGGGGCAGAGTCCACAAACAGAGTCTTCCTGCACTGAGCTGCCCAGGGGCAGACTCACAGAGCACTGGGGGCAAGGCTGGCCCCACCCCAGCCCTGACGTACTCCCCGTACTTCCCTCTCTGGCCCCCACTTACTAGCTCACTACAAGGTCACCTGTCCCGACTTCCTCCTCCTCCTGCCTGCTGTCGTCCTGACTGCCCACTGCAACGCTGACCCCTGCAGGCCTGCCAAGGCCCTGCTGGGCCTGGGGACAGGCAAGTTGGAGGGACACTGGAGTCCAGCGCAGGGCCAGCTTCAGGATGAAGAGAACGTAAGCAAAGGGCAGAGACAGCTGTGCACAGCCGGCTAGGTGGAGCAGGAGCCTGTGCCCATGCACAGGGTGGGGGTGGGGAGGGGAGTGGTGGCTCTGCAGTTTCACTGGCCTGGGCTCTTTCCCCCCAGTCCCTCCCTCCATCTGTAATAGACAGGGAGCCTTGTGGGGTGAGAACTGCTGCCCTCAGGTAAACTCTTAGCAGAGGGCTCACCCCGTGGGTACCTGCAGAGAGAGCGCAATGAGGAAGGTAGCACACAGGGACCTCCTAGGAGTAGCCTGCCTGGGCCACAGGTAGGGGCCACAGGAGAGGGCAGATGTTGTTTTTTTTTTTTTTTTTTTTTTAAGACACATTGGACCACAGGTGTCTTGTAAGGAATGAGAGGAGGTGAACAGGTACCAGCCCCGTGGGCATTGAAGGGAGATAAGGGACCACCTGAGATACTGAGTAGATAATACCCTGTATTATGTGTCACTCCTACACAGTGGGGGAGACAGTCCAGGGGCTACATGGGTTAGCTGGAGAAGTGAGGCAGCAAAGCTAAAGCTGTGGAGCTTAGAAGACATGGGCAGGGACCAGAGGACTCCCACCCAAAGCAGCGTCTGCCTTCAGCAGCCTTTCCTCACCCACCCAGCCTCTCAGACCTGCCCCTGACACAGCACAGTTGGGCCCTGCAGCTGGGGTGGCCCCCAATAAGGAAAGAGGAGGGAAGGGTCTGGGGGCTGCCAGCCCACCCCACGGGGCAGCACTGGCTCCTTGCCCAGAAGATGCCAAGCATGTCAAGTTGATCTCTGTGGACAGAGCAGAGACACTTGGAGGAGTGGTGATGTCACGGTACCAGGCATGGCAGGGAGTTGGAGGGAGGGAGAGGGGTCGAAGGCACAGCCCTAGGCAAGGGTCCCGACAGGCCAGCCTGGCAGGGGAACATCTTGGCTGCACCCCGCCCCCTGTTCCATCACACATTTACCCCTCCCACCCAGCTGTTCTCTGAACTAAGCTCTCAGCTTGGGAGAGGTGGAGCAAGAAAGAACGCCCCTGTCCTTGGTCCCAGTGCTGGAAACCCACAGCCAATTGGTGTGTGTGGGGGGGTACTCGGTGGGTGACCTGGGTCCAGGCAGCAGAGGGCAAAGGGCTCGCCAAAGGCAAGGTGTGGGGTCAAGCGGAGGGCCCTGCCTCTTCCACCCTCATACCCTAATGCTGAGAAGAATACAGTGGCGACTGCCCAGCAGGGCGGCCTCCACCAAGGTGGGCCAGGACCGCGGCCCATTTTCCGGGAAGGAGAGATAACTCTGAGGCTGCCCCTAGAGGGGAAGTGCAAAACTGGGCTGGAACAACCACTGGACTGTGCTCTGAGCCTCAAGCCTTAGGCCCCTGTCTGCCCGGCAGACCCAGGGGGTCGTGGAGCTGTTTTCCACCCCCAACACTCCCAAGAGTCGGGTGGAGGGGGGCTGGTGGCAGCAGGGCAGCCTAAGTCTCCGGGTCCAGGAGGACGTCCTGGGCTCGGTGCTGGAGAGAAAGCGAGAAACGGAGATGCTGCTGCAGGCATGAAGGCAAGGGGTGGGGAGAGGCAGGTGCCAGGGACTTAGGAGGCAGCTGGGACCGAACCAGGACAGGAGCTACCGAGGACCTGCCTACAGGTGGGCAGTGTGTGAGGAGGCGGCAGCCAAGGAGGAAATAAATGGCAGAGCAATTTCCCTGGGAAGGAAAGGCTCCCGGGCTCGGGCAGGGAGAAGGGCGCGCCGGCGGGGGGCTCTGAGGCCACTCCCCAGTGCTGGGGCCACGAAGCTGGGCGGCTCCGGCCCCAGCACTGGGCCAGGACCCGAGTGAGTTTGGGGTTCTTGGCCTGCCCCTCCCCACGCCTAGGAGAATATGCTCCCGCACCTCCTGCGGTCCCCGCCCCAGAGCCTCCCGGCCCCGGCTGCTGCACCAGATTCCCACTTGTCCGCGGTCGGCACCGCCGGTGCCACCCTGCTCCCCAGCGCCCGCATTTGTGGTCCGAAGCTGCCCGGGGGAGATGGTGGGGATGGTCCCCAGGCGCTGACATCCCCACCCAGGGCTCCGGTGCAGGGGAGCCAAGGGACGCCCCCCAGGGCACTGTCCGGCTCCCGCGGGGGCAGCGGCGGCTCGCTCCGGCACACACGTTGTCCTTGCGCTGCCGGGTGGAGGGGGGGAGGTCCTTGCGGGGACACTGCGAAGCCGGCCCGGGCAGCGACCGGGCTACCTGGAGGGGACGGAGGGCCGAGGTCTGAGCCACGGCCGTCCGCACCCGCGTCCCCCGGGTGCTGCGATGACCCCGAGGGGCCGTCCGTGCGGCTCCGGGCCGGCGGCAAGCCCCGGGGCTGGGGCTCCGAGACGGCGCCCGCGCTGCCGCCGTCCGGCCCGCGGATGCCGGGCGCCCCAGCCGGCGCGCGGGGCCGCGCTTACCTGGGCTGGCCGCCTCCGGGTCCCGGTACATGGTCCCCTCGTCGCCGGCTCCCTCCGGGCTCCTCAGAGCCGCCCGCGGCCGCACGCTGCTCCTCCGCCGCAGCAGGGCATGGGGCCGGGCGACCCCCGGGGGCGGGTCCGAGGGCGGAGGGCCGCGCGGGCTGCACCGAGCCGCCGAGCCGGGGAGCGGGGGCCGCCCGCCAGCCCTCCCGCCGGCCCGCGGAGCACGCCGCCGCCGAGCCGCCTCCCTCCGGCCTGCGTGCCGCGTGTGCGCGCCGGAGCGTGTGTGAGTGTGTACGAGGCCGTGTGTGTGTGTGTGTGTGTGTGTGTGTGGTGTGTGAGCGCGTGTGCGAGCGCGCCCGGGGCACCGCCGGCGCCGCCCGCCGCCGTCGCCGCCTGCGCCCGCTGCCGGCCGCGCGCCGCGCTGCAGCCCGCACCGCCGCCCGGAGCCGCCCCGAGGGCACGGCCGCCGCCCCGCGCCCCGCCCGTGCGCAGCCCCCGCCGGGAGGGCGGCCGGGCCCCCCGCGCCCAGGCGCTGACAGGAGCCTGCGGGTCCCTCCACGCCGCGCGCCCAGCCCAGCCCGGGCGCCTCTGATGGCAGCGGCCTTGCTCCGGCAAAGGGCCAACGGAGCCGGCCGCCTCCTCCGAGGTGCCCTCTGGCTCCGTTCCAAAAGGCGTGGAGATCCACTCCGCGTTTTCCGCTAGGTGGCGGCTCTAGGGCGTCAGCTCCGGACCCGACACCGCGGCGGTCCTTGGAAGATGGGCTGGTGTGTGCGAAAACCAGGACTGGATCTAGACGCCGGCGCCGAGCCTGGGTCCGCCCATCTGGTCTTGAACGGAGCTCGCACACAGCGGGCGCGCCAAAGGCTGGGATCCCTGCCCTCTGTGGGGACTGGGTCTAGTGATCCTCCTCACTGAGCTCCACAAAAGAGGAAAGCAGGCTTTCATCCTCTGCTCATCTTTCTTCAGCAGCTGCCCTTCCACAGGTTCCCCTCTTTTCCCTGGCCCGGGGAGCCTTGGTGGATAGGAATGGAATCTATCCCGTCCCTTCCAAATATGAGGTTCTTTGGCTCTCTCTCTCTGCTCCCTTTCTTCCAGAATCAAAACTGTTTGATCCCAGACAGTGAGAAGGATCCCATCTCCCAGTGACTTCAGAGCCCTGGAGCTGAACCCTGGGTGTCACTGGGTACCAAGACCTCCATCCACACCCACACACCTGCACACGTGGCTTCCTCACAAGGAGACCCAATCTTCCTGCACCAAACAGGTAGGCAGGAGGACCAAATCCTCAGGTCTGTGTCTACCTCCTGCCTGCCCTCTCTGACGAATGCAGTTCACAGGGCAGCCAGCCTTTACAGAGTGCAGAATTCTGACTCCCACCCCAAGAAATCCATTCAATTGGCTTTATATTGCACAGTATGCGCCAGCCACACCTCCAGCTTCCCCTAGTGGAGCAGGCAGCCAGCACGCATGGGGAATCTGTCCCACGTCTTTCCGGTCTCAACGCGCTCAACAAGGCACATACACACACACTCAAACACACACATGCACACACACAGGCACCATCCCCTTGAACTTGCTCAGAGCTCCCTCTCCCCCCCCCCCTCACCCCCCAGCTCACACACATATATTCACCTCCACCCACAGCTTTTCCGGTTGAGAAACAGATAAGGAAATTCCCCCAGCAAGCCTCCGTGAAGCCTGTTCCGGTGAAGACCAGATTTCCTGGGATTACATGTTCTAATTAAAAATGGAAGGAAAAAGAGGCATCTGTAGGTTAAGACCCACGGTTCCCCAGTAGGCGGAAATGGCAGCCCTGGCGCTCTCCTCAGGGGCCCTTCTGTCCTAGCCCACAGCCCTCCACCCTCACGCAGCCCCCTTTGGGAGCTGGCAGCTGCTGGAGTCCCGCCCCTTCCCTGGGGACGCCAAGGTCTCCAGCCTTGCTTTGTTCCCTGTCCCACCCACACTGCAGATGCTGCACCCTCCCACCCCCACCCAGGCGACCCATGGGCACCCTGAGAGCTTCCCCATCCATCAAGGATGGATGGCAGAAGCCCTGTTCTTCACAACTCATGGAGCTTTCCAGAACTGATGGGCAGGCCATCTGACAGATGACTCAGGCCACCCTGCTCAGGGGACAGATGGTGGAGCCCCTCCCTCCAGGAGCAGGACCTGACTCAGGGAACAAAAGGCCCCAGAGAGGACAGTCCAGGCCGCTGGCGAGAGAACCAGGCCTCGGTCCCGACTACCTGTCTTTACTCAGCATCAGAGGCTTCTCACGCGACTCCCCGTAGCCTGTGCTCCCCTGAGAGTTCCCAGCCAGGCCCTCACTGATACAAGAAGCCTGAGCTCCTGCACTCGCTACAGGCCCCAAACGGCCGGAACTGCACAAGTCAAGCCTGGGCAGTCTCTCGCACGCGCTAGACAGAGCTGTGCCAACTGGGGCTCTGAGAATTGTGGCTATTTATTTTTTAATTTCCTGCCAAAGTCTCCTCCTAAAGAATCTTAAAGATGCCCATTTTCTGTGCCCCAATACTTTGCATGGAGTGTGCAAAGAATAGATGTTTGCAGTTCCGCCCCTTGGATCCGTATTTTCCTGTGGCAGATGCCTCGGGGTCCCGATTTCTACATCTGAGAAATGAGGATGAGAATTACAGAGATTTCTCTGGACCGCTGTGATGGTCAGTGGATGCTATAACTAAAGCATTCAAAATGAGACTTGGGCCATACCATTTCTTCCTGATGGATACCGAATGCCATTATGACTGCTGTTTTTTTTTTTTTAAAAGATTTATTTGTTGTTATTGCAAAGTCAGATATACAGAAAGGAGGAGAGACAGAGAGGAAGATCTTCCATCTGATGATTCACTCCCCAAGTGGCCAAAACAGCTGGAGCTTAGCCAATCCAAAGCCAGGAGCCCAAAGCCTTTTCTGGGTCTCCCACACGGGTGCAGGATCCCATGGCTTTGGGCTGTCCTTGACTACTTTCCCAGGTCACAAGCAGGAAACTGGATGGGAAGTGGGGCTGCTGGGATTAGAACTGGTGCCCATATGGTATTCCGGAGTGTGCAAGGCAAGGACTTTAGCCTCTAGGCTATTGCGCCAGCCCTGCTGTTTGTTCTTAACACTACGCACATACTCCCCCATTGCCACGTTTCACCTCTTAGGGAAGTTCTTCCAGGTGTCCCACCTCAAGCCGTCGCATTGGAAGGTCTTAACACTTCTACTGGAGTATTAGTGACAGCCAAGGAAACTGTGAGTTCCTGTCTGCTGAGCTCTCAGAAGGGACAGGACAGGTAAGCAGGTGCTCTGAGAAGGGAAAGCCTGGGCCTCTGGGTTTCTGTTTTGCACCCCCTTCCAGTCCTCGGTGGAGATTTGCCCAGCAAAGCCCTCTCTTTGCACAATGCGCCGGCCCCTGTGTCTGGGCTTCCGTGACGTGGCAGGAGATGCTGGCAGCAACTGGCTCCCTTAGGAGCTGCTGTGCCATGTGCTGGGGACTCCTCCAGCCTGTTACCAAGCTGGCACCGTCATCAAGGCCAGGTGCCCTGGGTCAGCTGCAGGGAGGGATGTTCTGTCCCTCAGGTGCAGACACTGGCCCCTGAGGCCACATGGCTCTGTTGCTAGGCCACGGCTAGGAGGCAGGGCTCCTGGGTCTCCTCCTGGCCTCCGCCTGGCCTGGCCTGCACTGCCGCCGCCTCCCCTACCTCTGTGCCCCCACCCCCACCCTGGGCTACGGCTACATTATTAATAAAAATGCTGAGGAGGCGTTTTGTGCAGCTCACGTGATGGAACAAACACACCTCTCTCTCCTTGCTACCATGCAAATGACCAGAGACTTGGGCTAAACGTTCGCCTGATCCAGGAGGGCCAGGGCTGCGTCCAGCAAGAAGGACAGCACCAACATGTCCCGTTGCTGGGGCAGGGGCAAGGACTGTCTGCCACCCCCTCCCTGCAGAGGGCGGTTCCCTGGGCTCCTGCTTTCTTCTCTGTAGAGGGTGAGACTGGAGAAGGCTCCCGTGAACAGCTGCCATCTCCCCAGGAAGGACGAGGCAGCAAGTTCCCAGACGGCATTTACAAGCTCCTAGTGTGCATGGACTGCGGAGCTGCCTACCCGCTCTGGGCCGAGGGACCACCGGAGGGCAGAGGCCTCCCTGGGGGGGGTTACATGGGCTGGGTTCTATTTTACAGGGCTGCACCAAGAGAGACAGAGTCTGACCTGTAGCATCAAGGGCAGCATCCATGGACTTGACTCTGGTCCTGTCTCCATGTGTCTCCCTGGCTGTTTGGACTGGTTCCTTGACAACGTGACCCTTAGTTTTCTCATCCATGAAAATGGGTTAATAATTGCCCTTCCTGCAGAGCTGTGAGAATGTACTCGGACAAGAAGGTCTCTGCTGGCTCTGTGTACTGTCTTGATTACCCAGGCACTGAGGACCCTGCCTGGGGTTGACCTTCCAGAGCCGCAGGCCCCCTCAAGGCTTGCTCTCCCCAGACACGTTCTCCAGCCAGAACCTGCACCCGAACCATCTGTTCCCCCACATGCTTGTTCCCTGTAGCCCCTCCCCCACTCTGGAGCCTCATACAGTGCCTTCCTTCCATGGTCATCCTGACTCCCCCACATGCCTGATGCCCCATCAGCCAGGCAAATCCCTGCTCCCAAGATGACCCTCAGTGGACCCACGTGGACCCCTTCTGGAACTGCTCCCAGACTCCCTACTCTGAGATGCTTCCCACCCCCCAAGACCCCTGAGATGGCTGAGAGCCAAGAGGTTGGCAAGACCTCTCTCATGAAGAAACACCATGGTGGGCCCAGCACGGTAGCCTAGCGCCTAAAACTCTTGCCTCACATGTGCCAGGATCCCATATGGGCACCAGTTCTCATCCCAGCAGCCCCACTTCCCATCCAGTTTCCTGCTTGTGGCCTAGGAAAGCAGTCGAGGACGGCCCAAAGTCTTGGGTCCCTGCACTTTTGTAGGAGAGAAAGAGGCTCTGGGTTCCTGTGTTCGAACTGGCTTAGCTTAGCAGACAGCAGATCTTCCTCTCTGTCTTTCCTCCTCTCTGTATATCTAACTTTCTAATAAAAAATAAAATAAAATAAATCTTTAAAAAAAAAAAGATATACACTGTGGCGGCACCTCAACCTGAATGGCCTGGGGCAAAACTGTTGAATCCACCTGAGCCTCAGTTTACCAATTTGTATCCTAAAGATAATCCTTTTTTGATCTCGATTGGGTCTCAGACCCCCTTGGGAAGCTAACGTGCCCCCTAGGTC